ACCCCACACCCCACACCCCACATGCCCGCAGCCCCCACGGGGTCCCAGCCCAGAGCTCCATAAACCCCACACCCCACACGCCCTGCAGGCCCCGCAGGCCCCACGGGGTCCATGGGGTCCCAGCCCAGAGCTCCACACCCCACACCCCACACGCACGCAGCCCCCACGGGGTCCCAGCCCAGAGCTCCACACCACACACCCCACACGCACGCAGCCCCCACGGGGTCCCAGCCCAGAGCTCCACACCCCACACGCCCTGCAGGCCCCGCAGGCCCCACGGGGTCCATGGGGTCCCAGCCCAGAGCTCTACACCACACACCCCACACGCACGCAGGTCCCGGTGTGGACAGAAGACACACCGCGAGGGCCGCTCCATCCGTGATCCCTGGGCAAGAGCCTGCTTTCCGTTCCCTGAGTGAATGCCAGAGAGTATAAAGCCACTCTGGCTCATGTACACAATTATTCACTTAGAATAAGGAATACTTCAGAGAGGGTGTGCAAATGAACTGCAGTGGGTTAACTGCAATGTGAGGTAGATATGGTAATGCTCATTTGTTTGTTTTGAGGGTAAAAAGCCTGAGGAATATTGCAATATACCGTTTCTATGTTATATAACCACCAAATAAGTTCATTCAAGTTTAGAGGAAAAATTGTGTTCTTAAAGAAGATATAACTTCAAATGTTTACTCAATCTTAAAAAAATGGAAACTAGTTTTCTTTTTCTAATGATAGGCTTAAAAAATTTATTGGTTCATCAAACTTTATTATAAAAGCATATGAAATTTTTAATAAATTATCATTTTTGCATATATCAGTCAAAGCACAAAGCTTAAACACTTGCAAACAAAATGCATTATTAATTTAATTGTCACAGCCTATTTACTTAACTTCTATTACCATTTGCTATAATATGCAGTGCATTAAAGGGGAGAATCAAATTCAAAACACAAAAAATAAACTGATTATACTGTCCTGGAGAAATTAAAATACAGCAAGCTTGCAAAATTATAGTCAAGGCATTAATGTTTCAAATAGGTAACAAAAATGTTTAACTTAATTCTGCAAACAGTTATACCTTGCAAACCGAGAGTTTGACATGTTGATAGTTTCCATGCTTTCTAAAACCATTCAAAAGAAAGGAGGAGGAGCCTTTAGCATGTCTGGTGCTAGACTACACCCTTAAATGGGGTCTCCTCCTCTCCACATACTGGAGAAGCATACTGGAAAGCCTAAGAGGAAAGCCTGGAGTTCCCACTCAGCATTTTTATGCAAAAAGGATGCCATACACATAGATATGACAAAACTTGCCTGAAACAAAGTCTGTGTAGTAAAAAAAAGCAATTCCAAGGTGAGTACTGTTCACTTCAAACACTTACAAGTAGTAATTCAGAGGACAAATGTGTGTGCCCATCTGAGAACCATTTGTAGGACAAAACTCAAGTCAATGCCTGAGAACGTGCAGCACATCCCGGGGCGCGAGCGCCATGCCATCCTGCTGCCACAGTCTGTATTTCTGTGGGTAGCCTGGGGCTTTACCAAGACAGGAGGAGCATTAGGAAGCAGGGTCCCGGAGGAGGCGTTCAGATGGTGGGAGTCCTGCTCCTGAAGAGAGATTGGGACCTGGCCCTTTTCTGTCCTCCTTCTTGGCCACAGGGGAGTGAGCAGATCCCTGCCACCAGAACACGCATGGCGCTACCACAGGTCTGAAGTAGTAAGGCCAAGCAACAGTAACTGCAACCTCAGAACCGAGAAATGAAAGAAACCTTTTCTCTATTTAAGTTAATTGCTTTAGGTATTTTGCCGTGGTAATGGAAAATCAGAACAACTTCTCCAGTTTCTTTTTTGTAAGTTTCTCTTTAAAAATTGGAACTGGCCGGGCACTGGTGGCTCACGCCTGTAATCCTAATTATCAGAAGGCTAAGATCTGAGGATCATAGTTCAAAGCCAGCCTAGGCAAGAAAGTCCGCAAGGCTCATCTCTAATAAACCATTCAGAAAGAGCCAGGGTGGTGCTGGGGCTCAGGAAAGCACTAGAACGTCTCAGGGACGGCACCCAGGCCCTGAGTTCAACTATGGTACCAAAAAATAAATAAGGACCTGAAATGAATAAAAATAAGGGTGAATGGCTAAGATGAATTGAAAAAAAAAATCAAGCAGCAAATCTGTGATTTTTATAGCTCATGTTATAATATACAGAGGATATCTGCTATTTTGAGGTATTCAAAAATAAATATATGGATATACAAAGATAAATTATATGGATTGATCTAGCTATTAAATAATATGAACAACCACTACAAATTTTTAATTCCTAAGTAAAAAGCAAAATTATATATTTGGGTTTAAAATGTATAATGTCTAAGGTACAATATACAACTGTTTTCTTTGTATTAATGATCTCACCTACACTGTTTTCCTTAAAAGTCATTTTGGAATTGTAGTTCCTAGTATTAAGATCTATAAAAATGGAGAAATAATGCAAGACTTAACAAGGTTATAGAATGATTGAGAGAATGCATGTGAAAGCAGTACAAATATAGTAAATAAAAATAATTTTCTCTAATACCTTAAACATTAAAGTTCTCAAATTATTTCTTTTGCAGTATGGGTTTTCTATCATTTTAGGAACAATGTGTTCAGCAGTGGTACTAACTACACACTATGTTGAAAATGAACTACACAACTTGGAGGTGGGGATGGGAGGAAAAAACTGGGAGAGAGTTAGGGAAGAGGTGATGTTGTCTTAAAAAGAAATGTTCTCATAACCTGACTTATGTAACTGTAACCCCTCTATATATCACCTTTACAATAACAATGAAAAATGAAAAAAAGAACAATGTGTTCATAATATACATGCTCACAAGTACAGTTGGCTCCAATTAAATACAATACTACAAGGAAGAGTGTTTTGGGAAGCTGATAGAATGAGTGAAACGCACATTTTAAGGACTTAAATTTTCAGCAGTGGCCATGCTCACCTGGTAGCTGACACTGCTACATTTCAGCTCACCTAATATAATTAAGTATATGTGTTGAAGCTAATTATGATACAGTAGCAAGAAAAAGAAAGCCTGGCGGTTGATGACACAATAATTGTAGTGTTATTTTTCATGACATGGCAACTACAGTATTATTTGGGGATGACACGAGATGTATCTTTTTAACATCAGCAATGTTTAACTCTGCAGTAATAATTCACAAATGCGATATTAAAACCAGGTAATAGCAAAATAAAGAGAAAGACAAAATTTAGTTCAACACATGTTTTACAGCACACAGCAATTTGTTTTCAGAGGTCAGTTCCCTCCAATTTAATTCTTCTGCTGCTTCAAGGTGGTGTCAAAGTAACCCAATAGTTTTCCAACACTTCTTGAGTAGATTTTTTTTAATTGAAATATACTATTATGTTTTTTCTAGCAAAATGACATATAATATTAATCAAGAGCATCACATTTATAAAACAAGGTAAACTGACTTAAGAATTTTGTCCTAGTAAATAAAATCTAAATAAAAATTATAGTACTTAAGTAAAGAAATAAACAAATGTATGGAAATTACCTTTCTTTTGGGGTGCCAACTCCGTGTTTGCCTAGCAGATGAGTATTTAAGTGCTTCTTCATTACAAAAGCAACCCTAAAAAAATAAATGAAAATGATTATGAAATTGAACTTTAACTGTCTGCAAGGAAACTGTAAAGAACTGAATAATAGTATTTATATACATGCACACAAATATCACTTAATAATATACATTTCAAAGGCACAAGTTCACAAAGAGTTTCAGTGGAAAGAACTGCTTGAAAATCAAGCTACACCTAAAGGGACCAGGTTCCTTTTCTAGTTGAGTACAGAAACAGTGACTGTGAGCTCAGAACTGTGAGTTCACAGCAGGTCTTCAGTGATCATCTCCACTGCCCAACAGCAAGGAGGGCCAGCAGCACTGCGAGACCACACACCTGCCCCATCTCACACTTCAGTGCAAAATGAGCTGAAGTGTCACTTTATCAAGAACTTAAAAGGACTGTAAAAGACAAAATAAATAACTTTCATGAAGCTTCCTTAAAATATGACAACTTGATAGGTTTTTTAAATAATATCAATTGGGTTTATTTGTCTTCACCACCAATAAAAATTGTTCTTTAATGCAATTGTTTTAGTTAATGTTACTTCAATAACTCAAAGAACTGTCTGACGTTACACACAAATGTGCTTACTTAATTCTGCACGAGTGACCTGTCTGCAGGCTATTCAGGACCTGCAGTCAGTACATCGAACACCAGTCCTCCACTGAACATGGCACAACACCAACCCAATTATGGCATATGATTATTTGAAACAATTTAGATCTCATTCAGAAAGATCAGAATAAAATGGCTCTCGTGATAAAGCAAAAAAAAATTTTTACTATTGAAACTTTAAGTGTAAAAGGGCTTGCAAACATTTTTGTTAATTATGTATTACAGCTGTCCTTCATAAAGGTAATTACTAATAGCTGAAAGGCAACAGAATCTATTTGCATATGTACATGAAAGGCATGACATATGCAAAAATATGATTTTAATTAGCATTCTATGATATGAAGGGCTACAAATCAAAATGGCATGTTATAAGAGTCTTAACATTAAACATTGAATTTATCTGGACATGTTTGCACAAATGGGTAATATTAAGATTGTAAAGTACAGTGGTCTCACAGAAGAGACTGTGACAAAAGTCAATAACAAAAATTTGCTAAAACTGTAAATGCTTCTTTCTTTTAATATCTAATACTTTTCTTTCCATACACTATTATTTTAAACCATAATTATAAGGATAACACATCTGCCCTTTGAAATGGCTGTGACTTCATTATTCAAATAATAAACTTGCATACACTAAAATAGCATTCATTCTTTTTATATATTAAGTAATAACAGATAGAGACAATGTATGTTTTGTTTTATAGTTAATATTATAACTAGTCATACCATCAATCATTAAAATGGAAGGATACAACATTTGAAGAATCAAACTATGGTAATATTAAATAAGCAAAAATTAACAGTATAAAATGTTCTATATTTGTTTCTGCTTGATGTGAACTAAATAACATTTTTCACTTACTGAAAAAATACAGTAATAACAACAGTCTATTTAAGTCATAACTTCCCTACCATCCTCCATTTTCTTATAATTAAAAAAACATAAAGCTAATAGCAAAGAGCAAAGGTTAAAAACCCAAAGTTGCAAAGCACAGCTTATTTACATGACCAAGTATAATTTAAGATATCTGAACTAAGAATCTGCAGTATAGTTTTTAATGAGAAAAAATGTATTAATTAAAATATTTAAGCTTAAGGAACTAAAGCAAAAATATTACATTGCACAGGGGAACAAAGTAAACAGAGAAAATCTTTTCCCTAATAAAACACTGTACTACCTGCTGAATGTATGAAATGCTAAATATCTAGAGGAATATTTTTTGTTATTAAGAAAAAAAGTAAGAAAATTTTTAGTTCTAAAATACATCTCCACTATGTACAAATATATTTATTCAACTTAATTTTACATAAGTACAAACTCTTCTTATCTTGTTTAAGGTATGTATGAATGTGTAAATGCTTCCCATCATCTTTGGTTAAAAAAAAAAATAGTAACTCAAAACTCATGCCTGTAATCTGAGCTACTTAAGAGGCTAAGATCTGAGGATCTCAGTTCAAAGCCAGCCCAGGAAGGAAAGTACATGAGCCTCTTATCTCCAACCAACCACCAAAAGGCTGGAAGTAAGGTTGTGGCTCAAGTGGTAGTGTCAGCCTGAGTGAAAAAGCTAAAAGACAATGCCAGGTCCTGAGTTCAAGCTCCAGTATTGACACTCCAGACAGACAGACAGACAGACAGAGCATGGCTACAAACAAAATTACTAATAGGAACATACTACTACCAGCAATATGTGATTATAGAATACAGCCTATTCTGTACTACCATATAAACACTGTTGTCTTAACAACTTTTAATATAATTTTCAAAGCTGATAATGTACATATCACTGGAATAAGACAAAATACTGCCTAATCTAAAAAGCTATCCAACAGAAATGCTTTGCTTGTGAAAAACCTTCATGCCTTTAGGCATTTGCATTCGTGTCTATCAGTGTGTTAGTGGACATTTAACTTCCTGCGGTATTAGCCTAGAAGGTGACGAGATGGCTAATGTCATCCTTGCCTGGAGTTGTTCTACAATCCCAGAGCCTGCTGCAAGGTGACACAGGATTTCAGCTGAGGGAAGGAATGCAGTCATGGCAGGCAAGAGGAGGAGCACCTTGCACATCTGGGTATGAGAGAAAGAAACAGAGAACAGACGTCCAAGGAGGAGAGAAGAGAGCTGAGAGGCATCAAGCCTGTGGGCCAAAGCAGCACTGGCCCTGATTCAAAAGGAAAATCATGGCATGCATCTCAACAGATGGAACCGGACTGACATTTGAAAAGATTCCTTGGGCAGAGGGGAAGACAAGGTAAGGAAGAGTTCCTCAAATGTCTCTAACAACAGTTAAGGCAAAGACAGCTACAGAGAAGAGAACTGGCCAGAGGAAGAACTTACAGTAAGTTGCTAGAGCTAGCCCTATTTCCATGGACACTGCATGAAGAGTCTGAAAGAGAGGGAGGGGTCAAAGGAAAGTTCAGTGTTTGGCTTGGGAGAGAATCAGGTGGCTGGAAATGTGGGGACACTCCAGAGTGATACACACCTGAGCAGTACGTCAGACAGAGACTAGCTCTACTGGTTACCAACCAGACTGCACTTGAAGAGTACTTGCCCAGGCTATGCATCAACTAGAGCCTGATAAGCTGAAGAAATATCTTTATTTAGATGCTTTGAAAATGATTGTTTACTAACTTTTAGATACCTACAGTGTTCTGAAATAGCATCACTTAAGATGGACACCAAAGAGTACTGGCCAGTTCTCTTCTCTATAGCCATCTTTGAGTTCAAGCCCTAGCACTACTAGTGCATGCACGCACACACGCACACACGTTTGGTTGTCAAGAGAGCAATATACTCACAATATGGTCTAATGTCTAATGAAAAGATAATTTGAACTGGTACTTCAAAAGTTAATTTTTCTTCACTATATATGATAAACATGTCTTCCTTCAGTCCTTTAAGTTACAAGGATTATAAAAGCATTTAAATTTGAGTAATGGATCAACTATTACAGCAAATACAATACATAAGTGTCATAAATACTGAGGAAAAGAACTTAAAAGGGCACACCAAAAAAAAAACCAAGAGCCAGAAGCCACTGAGTGGTATGGCAGTGTGGGAGTTGAGGGGCAAGGGCAGGGCCTGCGCCCCGCAGGAGAACACCCCTGCACGCTGCCGGCTTCTACTGCAGCCTCCCACGTCACAGAAAGCCAGGCATCCCCGCAGGAATGCCGGTGGCATGCAATGGCCAGTTCCCAAGAAACTTACTTGTAACAGGCCTGACTACGTGTCTCAGAAAGCAGATGAGATCTGAAATTCCTGCTGAAAAGGTAAAATGATGAAGCAACTTTCTAGAAAATTAAGTACCTAAGTAAGATGCTGCTGAAAGACACAGCTCCCATCGTGGATACTTGCACAACTCTGCAGCCATCTTCCCAGGTCCCCCAACTTCCCAAAAGCACTGCTGCACTGCCAGCATACCCCAAAACACAAAAAACAAAAACAACCCACAATGCCCACTTTTGTACCACATGTGCATACCAAGAAGTGAACTCTGATCTGAATGTACAAGGATAAAGAAAACACAGTCTATATTCATAGGTGTGAAGGTTGTAAAAACAAGTATCTCTGAGAAGATGTAAGCATAACCAGTAAGAAACAAGAAATATTTAAAGCAAACATGGCTAAGTTAAAAGTATCAACATCACAATTTAGAATGTGAAGGGCTTCTACTATAAGGTCAAAAGAGCTAGAAAATAAAAAGCATCAAATATTTCTCATGTAAGTATAAACTGAGCTTCAAAATTTTCACTATTATATATATTTACTATGTACAGTATATATAATGCATATTTATATAGAGAGCATCAGTTGTTACAATAATCTTCATAACTGAAAAAGTATGAAAACATTAAATAATGTTTCCCCAAGCAATATCATCATCCATTTCCTAATGTAAGCTGAAAATATACAAAAATAGACTGTGAATAATGTAATCTGATTTTTGAGCTCATGTCACATGTTATGACTACATAAAATTTTGCTGTTTTCCTTAATGTTTTTATGATTTTAATCATTAAGTTATAGATACTCACAGAATGACCTTATGTCAAAAGTACAATATAATTTCATACATTACTTTCAATTTTAATAGTACATTTATTAAAGAGGGGTGAATTCTGCAATCAGTGCTCATTTCTGCCAATGAACCTATATCACAAGAACAGTATCTCCTGAAAGATCAGTGGGTATGCTTGTTCATGTGGCAAGGGAGTTAGTAGTTGTGAGCTAGTAATGTGATCACAAGGACCCTTATGGATGCCTAAATGAAGGGGTACACAGAGGCAGCAAAGAGACATGACCCTAAGTCAGAGAGATGCTTGGTGCTAGTACAAAGGAGAAAAAGTGAGCCAGGACCAAAGTCTAGAGAAATAGAAAAGAAAACAAAATTCTTCC